CCGCATACGAATGGGCAAGACCCTCGCTTTGCTCCCGGCCCCTTGAGGGCAGATCCGGGACCACACCCAGGCAGGCCGCCTGCCTCACCCTCTCAACCCCTTGCAATACCGCAGGCTCCCGGGAAGGGGACCCGGGCCCCCAGGGCGCGGATGTGGCCCCCATTCCGCCTCCCCAGCTGTAATCTTTCCACTCCTGCCCGAATCAGGCCTTCTAACCGGAGCGTGGGCGGGGGATGGCCCCTTCCTGGAAGGGGAACGGGGTACCCAGCGCTGCCCTCATGGTTACTGTTATCACTGCGGTCCTTGTTGGCAACTTAGTAACGGTTCACGTGGAAAAATAGCTCTGGGCGCCACGTCAAACTAGATTCCCAGGTGTCCCTCTTCCCTACTCCAGACTCCCTGCCCGGATCACCCAAGCGCACGGTTGATGTTTAAGCAACGTTTGTTGAGGTGGTGGTGTTCATAGGAGAGACTGGAGGAAGGTGGATGGGACTGTGTGATGTAGCTGTATTTTTATTAAGTCTCACATATTTAGTACCTAAGCTTCTTATAAGAGCCTAGATCAGTGGTTCTCAACCTTCTGGCCCTTTAAATACAGTTCCTCATGTTGTGACCCAACCATAAAATTATTTTCGTTGCTACTTCATAACTGTAATGTTGCTACTGTTATGAATCGTAATGTAAATATCTTACATGCAGGATGGTCTTAGGCGACCCCTGTGAAAGGGTTGTTCAACCGCCAAAGGGGTCGCGACCCACAGGTTGCGAACCGCTGTCCTAGATACGCAGTAATACTAATAGTGCCTCCTGTGTTTTTCTAAATTAGCTTGTTTAATCTCTGCAGCTAGTGAAGTGTCCTCACCCTGTGTGATGAGGAGCCTGAGGCACGGAGGGGGACGTGCCTGGCCCCGTCTGTGTAGCGGAGAGCAGGCTGGGCCAGGGTGCGGAGCCCAGTTCGGGTCTGCTGCCCTGTCCTGGTTCGGGCTCCCCAACCTCCCTGACTGTCCCCCTCCGCCCGCAGGGTGGCCACAGACCACAACTCAGACAACACAACGGCCGTGCTGCGGGAATGGCTGGTGGCCGTGAAGAACCTGTACCACTCGGTAGAGTGGCGGCCGGCAGAGGAGCCCCGGTGAGTGCCAGGCCCTGCCCTGAGCGAGCCCTCCCCGTCGCACTCAGCTGCACCCCTGCCCACACGCCTCCACAGATTCCCATTGTCCGGCCTCAGAACCCTGGCCCCTCCGCCCCGGCTCTCTAGCCAGTTCTGCAGCCTTAAGTGCCAGCCCTGGCCCCTCTGACTCCTCTCCTGCCCTCAGCTTCACAGATTCTGAGTCTGGGAGGACGGTTCCACTTTGCTTTTGCTCTCTGTTCTCTCCCAGTGGCTCTGCCTCCTCCTGAGCTTTCTTCCTTCTCTATGGATTGCCCGGGCGTCCTCCCCTCCCGGCCTTGGCACTAGCCTGCCCCCTGCTGCAGACATGCCTCCCTCCTCCCGTGTTCCCCGTGCTTGCTTCTTCCCCGCCTGCAGATCCAGCTTAGCCGTCCCCTCCGCCAGGAGCCCACCTCTGGCCGCTCTGCAGCCTGGGCCCTGTTGGGGCTCCGCAGCGCCCGGGCCTCCCCCCATCACAGCTGCCTCCCTTCAGGTCCTACCAAGACGAGGAGGGCCCCAAGCACTGGTCCGACGCGCGCTACGAGCACGTCATGAAGCTGCGCCAGGCGGCCCTGAAGTCTGCCCGGGACATGTGGGCTGATTACATCTTGGTGAGTTTCCCGGCCCGTGGACCACAGAAGGCGTCTGGGGTGTCCGAAGGGAAGGCAGAGCAGTGAGTGTGGAGACTCCTGAACTCCGGTTTACAGAGGGGGAAACTGAGGCACCAGAGGGGGTGGGTGTGAGCTGTCAGAGGTGATCGTTTGGTTAGGTGGAGGATTTGGGATTCAACCAGGGGGCCCTGGGCTCCTAACCAGCAGATGTGTCCCCAGCTGTCCTCTGTGGTTGGACACTCGGTTCGTCTCTGCTTTTATCGCCATCATGAGTTGTAAGGAGCAGCTAAAGGGTCACCAGATCGCCACACACCCTCAGTGACACTGTCCGGGTCACTGCAAGAAGCAGGAAGGCGGGTTGGGGACGGGGGGGACTTGGTGACGCTGAGCTGCCGAATCCTGGTTTTCACTTCCTCCTCTTGGGCCAGTTTTGCCTCTGGGAAGGCGGGGACGTTGAGTGTTCAACGAAATCACGTTGGATAAGTGCCCACAGGTCCCGGGCCTTCCTGTGTCCTTGACCTGGGCGTGATTCCCTCCCCTGGTGCAGATGGGGAGGGAGTTGATGGCAGGGAGGTCACGTTGTGATGCCAGTCTGGCTGGTTTTGTGTACGTGCCAGGCCCTGAGTTGAAGTCTGTACCTTTTTTATTTATCAATCAACACTCATTTATGAGCCCCTACCAGTGCCCTCCTGCCGAGCCCTGGGGACACAGGCTGAACCCCACCTTGCTGGTGTCCCGGGAAAGGTGGATGTGACCGGAAAAACCAAACTGAGAGAGGCACCATCAGAAGGCAGCGGTACTGTGAAGTCGTAGACAGGCCTTTGGTGGTGAATCAGTGTCCTGGGGCTGCCGGGACAGAGGCCCACACGCTGGGGGACTGTTCTGGGAAGTGTGTTATCTCAGGTCTGGAGGCTGGAAGTCTGAAATCCAGGTGTCAGCAGGGCTGTGCTCCCCCAAAAAGCTCCAAGAGAGGATCCTTTCTGCCTCCTCCAGCTCCAGGAGGCTCGGGCATCCTTGGCTTGTGGCTGCATCGCTCCAGTCTCTGCCTTTGTGGTCACATGGACTTCTCTCCTGTGTGTCTCTTCTCTTCTTCTGAGGTCACCAGTCATTGCATTTCGGGCCCACCCTAGTCCAGTACGACCCCATCTTACGTTTTTACTAAATCTGCAAAGACCGTATTTCCAAATAAGGCCATAGCCACAGATACCAGGAGTTAGGACTCCCAACATTCAACCTCCAACAGATGGCCTAGCCAGGGTGGGGTGATGAGTGAGCAGCGTTGGGGGGCCTTCCTTAGGAGGGGACCCCAGCAGAGATCTGAAGGAGCAATGGAGCCAGCCTTAGGGGAAGCCGGAGGACAGTGTCTGAGGCAGAGGGAACAGCAGGCAGCAAGCTTTGGGTGTTCAAGGACTGTGAGGAGGCGAGTGTGGCTGGGATGGCCTGATGAGGGAGCGGTGGAGGGGGTGATACCGAGGTGGTGGGTGGGGGCTGGCCTATGCAGGTTGAGGGAAAGATTTGGTTTTCACTCTGGTGGTAGTAGGGAGCCACGGAAGGTATGTAAGCAGGGGAGGGCTGTGTTCTAATTTATGATTCTCAGAGCCCCTGTGCAGGAGTGGGGACAGCAGGAGGCTGGGGTGGAGGCCTGAGGGATGGGGCTGTGGAGAAAGGCAGGTGGGTCAGGCCCTGCTTGGGGACTAGATGTGAGGGTGCCAGGAGGATCCCAGGCCCCTGGCCTGAGCCCTTTGGGGAGGAGAGAGCTGTCTCCTGGGAAGAGGAGGGCTCCTCCTGGGCCCTGTAGGTTGATACTTCCTGAGACCATTTTACAGATGGGAAAGTAGAGGCCTGGAGAGGGAGGTTTCAGCTGGCTGGGCTGGCACAGAGGTGGGACTGGCCCTGCCTGGCGCCATCATGCACGGGGCCGCCGCGTCTGTTTGGTTTTCGTGGTTTGAGGTTGACTGGTTTTCACTTTTCCCCACAGCAAACCTGGGTAGAACTCCAGGTGTTGGTTCAAAACTCAAAGCAGCTTTTGACACACCGTGTTATTTTTGAAACCGGGGACTTTGGAAGTCCGTATTGGGATGTGAAATCACTTGTGTTTTAAAATTATTGTTAAAAGGGCCTCTTTTTTTCTTCTCTTTTTACAAACGCTATCGGTGTTGCTTGTTAGAAAATCTAGAAGAAAAAATAAGGAGTTTAGGAAAGAAGGAAACAAACCTCGTAATCTTACCTTTCAGAGAGGCTGAAATTGAGGTGCAATTTACATAACAGAAAATTAGCCTTTTAAACTATGTAATCAAGTGGTTTCTGGCACATTCACAGTGTTGTACAACCATCGTCCCTGTCTAGTTCCAGAACATCCCGTCATCCCAAACAGTCACCCCCACTCCCCTCCCTCCCCTCCTGGCAGTCACTGTCTGCTTTCTGTCTCTGGACCTGCCATTTCTGGGCACTTTGTGTACATGGAGTCACACAGCACATGGCCTTTAGGGTCTGGCTTCTCTCACTCAGCATGTTTTCAAGGTTCATCCATGTGGTGGCGTAAGTGCTTCCGTCCTTTTTATGGCTGAGCGATATTCCATTGTGTGGCCGGACCCGGCTTTGGTTATCCATTCATCCGTTGTTGGACACTTACACTGTTTCCACCTCCTGGCAGTTGTGAATCCTGCTGTTTTGAACATAGGTGTTCACGTATCTGTTGGAGTCTCTGTTTCCAGTTCTCTTGATCTATCCTCAGGGGTGGACTTGCTGGGTCACATGATAACTATGTTCTTAACTTTTTGAGGACCTTCTGGACTGTTCCAGCTGCTTTTTTTTAAAAAATATATTTTATTGATTTTTTGCAGAGAGGAAGGGAGAGGGATAGAGAGTTAGAAACATCAATGAGAGAGAATCATCGATCAGCTGCCTCCTGCACACCCTCTACTGGGGATGTGCCCGCAACCCAGGTACATGCCCTTGACTGGAATTGAACCCGGGACTCTTCAGTCCCCAGGCCGACGCTCTATCCAGTGAGCCAAACCGGCCAGGCCCAGCTGCTTTTACTGCACATATATCCAGAGGTCAGAATTTAAATGTCCTCAGGGGGCTGGGTGGGGAACATGCACACCTGCGCAGCCTGTCCCAGGGCTGTCCCCTCCTGTCTCCAGCTGAGGGTCCCGTGCGGCATGCTGTTCCGTGGTGCCAGAGTAGCCTGGAATGCCAGTGTTTGCTGTTGTTTACCTCAAGTGACTCAAATGCTCTAAAAAGCCCCTGTGAGAAACAGAATGCATCTTTAAAAAATACATCTTTTTATTGATTTCAGAGAGGAAGGGAGAAAGGGAGAGATAGATGAAAGATCAATGATGAGAGAAAATCATTGATTGGCTGCCTCCTGCATGCCCCCTACTGGGGATCAAGCCTGCAACCCAGGCTTGTGCCCTGACTGGAAATCGAACAGTGACCTCCTGGTTCATAGATCGATGCTCAACCACTGAGCCACACTGGCCTGGCCAGATGCATGTTTGTTTTTTTAATTGATTTTAGAGAGGAAGGAAGAGGGAGAGAGAGGGAAGGAAGAGGGAGAGAGAGAGATAGAAACATCAATGATGACTGAGAATCGTTCATCAACTGCCTCCAGCACGCCCCGACATTGGGGATCGAGCCCGCAACCCTGGCATGTGCCCTTGACTGGAATTGAACCCAGGACCCTTCAGTCCACAGGCTGACGCTCTGTCCACTGAGCCAAACCAGCCAGGGCCAGATGCATTTCTTAAAAACCATCTCCTAATCGTTCTGTAGGACAGAAACATCCTTACCTAATTGTTCCAAACTTTTTTCTTTGTAACAAACAAGTTACCATTTTTTTACCCCAACATTCAAGGTGTTAAAGCAAAATAAAGTATCTATTTTTATGAACTTTTTATTGGCATCTAACTCACAGAGAAAAAAGTGTATTCCTCTCAGAGGTGGCCTCTGGCCCACCCCCCCCCTCCATTGACCAGCGCTGCCTGTTGTAAAAGTTCCCACTGATGGAGCCACATGGCCCGCTCCCTGTCATGTCTGGTATCTCGACAGCGCCATGCCTGGGACCCGTTTGTGTTTCTGTGCGCCGTGTGGCCCATTCCTGCCCCTTCCCTAGTAGCCCGTTTCTTTGTGTGGATGTAACTTGGCTTGTTACTAAGGTAGAGCTGTGGGTTGGGGCACCGGATGGTTCTTCAGACCCCGGGACCCTGCCTCTGCCCCATCATCCCGAGCTGTGGCCCAGCCCGGTCCCTCCGGCAGCTCCCAGTGATGTCCTGTTGGATGTTTTGTAGTTTGTGGACGCAGACAACCTGATCCTGAACCCTGACACGCTGACGCTGCTCATCGCCGAGAACAAGACGGTGGTGGCGCCCATGCTGGATTCCCGGGCTGCGTACTCCAATTTCTGGTGTGGGATGACTTCCCAGGTCAGGCGGCTGCGTGGGTAGTGCAGGGGGCTTGGGGGGCTGGGGGCTGGGCCAAGCAAGTGGGGGCCGAACTTATTATCACACCAGCTCATGGTGAGAGTTTCACACTTTCGTGATCATCCTTAGACAGTCCACACAGTAGGGAGTGGTGGTGCCCGGATGGGACGGCAGGCACAGCTTGATTCAGATGTTCACACAGCGTTCCTGCCTTCCTCCATCCCTGGGTGGCTTCATTTTCAGACCCTGGGGAATGATCCCAGCAGCTTCCTGCTGAAGTCCTCTCGGACTGGCCTTGTCCATCTCTCCACTCACCCCTGGACCAGTTACTGAAGCCAAGAACATGCCAGGCTCTGGTTGGCCAGGCCTGTGCCGTACACCCCAGGGTTGAGGCTGAGGTTTCAGGCCGAGTCGGTGGGGGCGGGGGGCGGGGAAGGGGGGAGTGACAGGGTGGGTGCTGGAGTCAGGGGATCTGTGTGGCTGGAGCCTGAGGCTGACCTATCCTGTCTCCTCCTGTCTTTTTATTTTTATCTGACATGCAGTTCAGAAAACATAAAGCCATTTTAAAGTGAATAATTCAGTGGTTTCCATCTTTAAAAATGTGTCAGAAATAGAAATGTTATGGGGCGGGCGGGAGCGGGGAGGAATGGGGCCGTGGAGGAGAAAAGCGGACAAGTAATACTTTCAACAATAAAGATTTAAAAAAGAAGAAGGAATCTGCCGAAACCGGTTTGGTTCAGTGGATAGAGCATCGGCCTGCGGATTGGAAGGTCCCGGGTTCGCTTCCGGTCGGGGGCATGTGCCTGGGTTGCGGGCACATCCCCAGGTGGGCGTGTGCAGGAGGCAGCTGATCGATGTTTCTAGCTCTCTATCTCTCTCCCTTCCTCTCTGTAAAAAATCAATAAAAATATATTAAAAAAAAAAAAAAAAGAAGAAGAAGGAATCTAAGTGTCATATGCCAATAGTTCTAATTTGTAAAGGGTCCAAGGAAGAGAGAGGGCAACTCAGGGATTGTTCCAGAAGCTTTTAAGACTCCTCTTCTAGATTAAATTGACGTTCCATTTATATGTAAGTCGAATGTCCAGTCCCTTTTTCAGCTTTTAAAAAATACGTCTTTCCACACCTTTATTCATGTCCCAAGAAACATAAACGCATGTAAGATTTACTTCATATAAGAACTGAATTATATACTTTAATTTATAATTTGATTTTTCCGTTGAATAATACGGATGTGCATCCCATCAGAACAGACATAGCTCAAACACATTTTTTTAATCTTTATTGTTGAAAGTATTACATATGTCCCTGTTTCCCCCCCTCCCCCATTGACCTCCTCTGGCCCATCCCCGCCCCCTCAAACACATATTTAAAATAGTCACATAACATTTCATAGTTCCATCAATAGGCACTGAACTAGGCTTATCCCGCTAAAGCCGGTGCTGAACGTACACATTTTATTTCTATGGGATAAATCTCAAAGTGGTTTTCCTGGGGCACAAGGCATAGTACTTTAATTTTAACAATATTAATTCTCAAAGACTGAAGCGATTAGCATTCTGCCAACATTGGATGTTACTCTTTATTTTTGTTTTTAGTTGTAGGCCAGTTTAATGTTAAAACCTTTTTCAGCTTTTAAATTTCCTCCTTCATAGGCTGCCTTTCTGATCGGAAGTGTGGGGCCAGGTCTGCAAGTAGACAACCTTTTTCTTTTATTGGCCATTGTCCCATTAGCCCAGGCGCTGGGGGCGGAGCCTGTCCCTGACCACGCCCAGAGCACGGTGCTCAGGGAAGGCCCACCCTAGGCAGGCGTTGGCACCTGGGCCTCGCTCTCTAGGTGTTCCCTGTCTCTCCTTGTCCTGGGTCGCAGGCCTCTCCCCCTAAGGGAACCCCATGCAAACTCCGCCCCTCCCCGCAGGGCTACTACAAGCGCACGCCTGCCTACATCCCCATTCGCAAGCGGGACCGCCAGGGCTGCTTCGCGGTCCCCATGGTGCACTCGACCTTCCTGATCGACCTGCGGAAGGCGGCGTCCAGGAACTTGGCGTTCTACCCTCCACACGAGGACTACACCTGGGCCTTCGATGACATCATCGTTTTCGCGTTCTCCTGCAAGCAGGCAGGTGAGCCCTGGGGGTTGCTGTCCTGGGGATGTCACCTGGTCGGTTCTCTGGAATCTGAGCTGAACATGTCCCAGCAGAGGCCACAGAAGGTCCACAGAACCAGAACGCACGCAGGGTCCGGGTGGCTGCAGGCGGGGGTGTGTCCAGGTGTTCAGATGGTGGCCACAGACCCATTCTTTCTCCAGCCCTGGCTTTGCGGAGGGTCTTCGCCTCCCAGGTCTAAAGGGGACCTACTTATGGAAGGTTATTTCCAACTTAATATTTTCTTACATTCTCCCAACTTTCTATGGTTGAATGTAACCGTTCCCTAATTGTATAATTAGTGAAAAAGCCTTTTAGAGAGAACGAGAACACAGCCGTATGCTAACCCGCCACTTACTTTAAATCAAGGGTTATTAGCCAACGGTGGCCAGCAGGCCAGATCTCACCCACCATCTGTTTCTGTACGGCTACAAGCTAAGAATGGTTTTTATATCTTTAAACGGTTGGAAGAAAACATGAAGAGACTAGTAATAGTTTGTGACGTCTGAAACTGCATGAAGTCAAATTTCGGTGCCTATAGGGGAAGTTTCACTGGCACGCTGCCACACCCATGTATTTAAGTGTGGTCTACAGCTGCTTCACCATTTCCAGGGGCGGGGTTGAGTTGTTAAGACAGAAACTGTCAGGCCAGCAGCCTAAAAGATCTCTACCATCTACCCTCATTATGTAAAAGCTAGCCAGTTAAAGTGAAAATTATTTTCATTGACTTACTAACTTTTTTTTAAATATATATTTTATTGATTTTTTTACAGAGAGGAAGGGAGAGGGATAGAGAGTTAGAAACATCAATGAGAGAGAAAGATCGATCAGCTGCCTCCTTCACACTCCCTACTGGGGATGTGCCCGCAACCAAGGTACATGCCCTTGACCAGAATCGAACCTGGGACTCTTCAGTCCACAGGCTAACGCTCTATCCACTGAGCCAAACTGGTTAGGGCGACTTATTAACTTTTTAAAATACACACTCAGTATAAAAATTTAAACCATCCAGAAAAGGACAAATGCAGATGGAGATCACCTGACTGACATTTTATTCAACTGCATCCCATTTTTGTGCAGAAATGTGCACCAGCCCTAGCCGGTTTGGCTCAGTGGATAGGGCGTTGGCCTGTAGACCGAAGGGTCCTGGGTTCGATTCTGATCAAGGGCACATGCCTCAGTTGCAGGATCCTTCCCGGCCTGGGCCCTGGTCAGGGAGTGTGCAGGAGGCAACCAATCGATGTGTTTCTCTCACATCGATATTTCTCTCTGTCTTTCCTTCTCCCTTCTACTCTCTCTCAAAGTCAATGGAAAAATATCCTCGGGTGAGGATTTTTAAAAAAAAGAAAAAGAAATGTGCATCTTTTTTATTTTTAATCCTCACCAGAGGACATGCTGAGAGAGAGAGAGGGAGAGAGACATTGATGTGAACAAGAAACATTGACCGGTTGCCTTCTGTACCTGCCCCGACCAGGAAACAAACCTGATACCTGGGTATGTGCCCTGACCGGGAATCGAACCCTCACCTCCTGGTTCATAGGTTGACACTCAACCACTGAGCCACACCAGCCGGGCATAAGGTGCTTTTTAACAGTTCTGATTGTCAGTGTCTCGCCTGCCAGCGGGAGCCCCTGTTCTGACTCCAAGTCCCAGGTGGAGGTCTGAGGGGTTTCTGCTGGTTGCTGGGAAAAGTGGGCGGGACTCCTTGACTTTCCAGCCCACACTGGGCTGTGAGGCTGACGCTGTGGTCAGAGGTGGCCACTGCCACCTTGTTGCTCAGTTTTCAGTTTTGATTGTTGTTTTTGGCCCCAGAGGTCCAGATGTACGTGTGCAACAAGGAGATGTATGGCTTCCTGCCAGTGCCGCTGCGGTCACATAGTACCCTCCAGGACGAGGCTGAGAGCTTCATGCATGTGCAGCTGGAAGTTATGGGTGAGTCCGTCCACACTGCCCTTTCTCGGTCATCACACTTCCATACCCTGAACGCTGATTGAGCACCTGCTGGGTGCTAGTGCCTTTGCCAGGCACTGGGAACCTGGCATGAACAAGGTGGACAGTTGTCCCTGCTCTCAGGGAGCACTGGCTTGCAGCAGCTGTGCATGGCAGTCAGGGTGGGCTTCCAGGAGGAGGTGGCATTAAGAGGCGGGGTGAGTAGTAGTTAGCCAGAAGGGGATTGTAGCCAGAGGGAGCATTCTGCAGACTGGGAGGCTAGGGGGACACGAGCTCAGGGAGAGGCAAGGTCAGTGGGGCAGAAGTGGGGCTGCTGAGCGGGTAGAGCTGGCGGGCCAGGGCAGCGGCCTTAGGCATTGGTTTTCCTCAGGGGCAGCCAGGAGCCATGGAGGGTATGGGAGCAGGGAGGACAGAAGGTTTTCACTGATGAACCTTTATGTGCATGGCAGTGTCTGGGCCACAGCCTTTTGGGCCATTTCCAAACCGCAGACCCATTACTTATTTAATATATATCTTATGTGTATACTTTTGTTTTACTTGAATACATTTATTTTAAAAAGGGAATTACATGTTTTTACCATAGTTGCAAGCTCATGTCTTTCCAGTAAATAAATCTATAAATTATTAAACTAGCAGCCCTACCTCTGGTGGCCCCGAGATGGGTTGAGCACACAGGGCCGAGCTGCCATCAAGGTTGCTCAAGGAGTGGCCTCCTGGTGGACGTGGGGTGTCTCCAGAGCAAGAGGACAGTGGGGCAGTGTCCACTTCCGGGGGGGCTCTGCCCTCCACTGGCCACACATCTCAGAGAAGGCCTGCAGAGCGGAACCCCCGCCCCCCACTGCACAGATCGGGCGGGGGGGGGGGGGTTCCAGGCTCCTGCTGTTGGTCTCAGTTGCCCCACTCTTACCTGCTTCTAGAAGGTTCTCCGTGTGTGTGTGTGTGTGTCTCCCTGGTGTGTGTGTGTGTGTGTGTGTGTGTGTGTCTCCCTGGTGGCTGAAGGTGGAATGGCACACTCCCTGCACAATACCCAAGTGTCTGCACATGCAGATGCTCAGGCCTAGGCCAGGAGCCCCACTGGCCACTGTCACGAGAGACAGGCCTCTGCTTGTCGCCCACTCGCACCTGCGCCTGGATCCCTGTGGCTGCCATCGTTTTCCTCATTTAAATCTCACCTCTGTTTCTGTTACTGTTTCTGGTCAAGAAACCGTTAACTCTGCTGCCATAGACTCCGCCGTGACAGGCATGAATGCCCTCCTGTTTCTTTCTTGAGGGCCAGAGCTGAGCACACAGAACAGATGGAAGGAGGGCCGGGGGGTTCAGATATGTGTGTAAATCCTTCCTCTGTTAAAGCACGTTTCCTCTCCGTCCGCGTGTGGGGACCCGGACCTGGGCCGAGCGGGGGGTTTTCATGTGTCCGAAGATCTCTCTTACAGTGAAGTTTCAGAGCAGAAAGGCTCAGGGTGACAAGATCCCACCTCCCACTGGCACTTCTCTCACCACTCACCCCGCCCCCCAATGGGGGTTTGAGCTGAGGGTCAGACAGAGAAGGGACGGGCACCTGGGATTGGAGCCTGTGTCCCAAGATCCCCAAGTCTTGCCCTTGGTGTCAGCCGTCCCAAGGAGAGTGGGGTGCCCAGGAGCTGCGGGACTCTGGGGAGAGGAAGCCCTGGGGCGTGGTGGCCTTGGAGGAGGCCCAGGATGTGAGGTGGAAGGTTCTGGGTCAGGTCTGGGCCTTGTCCAGGTCTCTTCCAGACAGAGGGCCCTGTGTTTGTCCCTTGCGCTCACACGGGGCCTTTGTTCTTGGTGAAGCAGACACCACACTTGGAATCCAGTTGGGCTTTTCTGGGCAGCCTGGGGGGCAGCCAGGGACGTCTGCAGGCTCATGTGTACCTGAAAGTCTGGCCCTTCTGGGAGAACCACAGGCATACATATGCCAAGATCGCTGTGGGGATGTGGTCTGAGCAGCTCATGGGGAGCAGTCATGACCGCTCTGACGTTCTGGGCGCACCTTGGCCTGGAGACATCTCACTCGGTCAGATGGCCGTCTTCTCCTGCGTCTTCCCTCTGTGTGTCTCTGTGTCCACATTTTCCATTAAAAAAAAAATCCTCACCTGAGGATATGTTTTTATGGATTTTTAGAGAGAGGAGGGGGGAGAGAGAGAAACATTGATATGAGAAACATCAAAATATCGGTCAGTTGCCTCCTGTATATGTCCTGACTGGGAATCAAACCCACAGCCTTTTGGTGTATGGGATGACGCTCCAACCAACTAAGCCACCCGGCCAGTCAAATTTTCCTTTTTTTTTTTTAAAGTTTTACATATGAGTGTACTATCTTTTTTAAAAATATATTTTATTGATTTTAGAGAGGAAGGGAGAGGGAGAGAGAGAGAAACATCAATGATGAGAGAGAATCATTGATTGGCTGCCTCTTGCACGTCCCCTACTGGGGATCAAGCCCGCAACCCAGGCATGTGCCCTTGGCTGGAATCGAACCCGGGACCCTTTAGTCCGCAGGCCGACGCTCTATCCATTGAGCAAAACCAGCTAGGGCCAAATTTTCCATTTTTATCCGGATCCCAGTCATAGTGATTAGGGCCCACACTAACGACCTCGTTCTACCTTGAACACCTCTGTAAACACCCTGTTTCCAAATAAGAGCATATTCTGGGGTCCTGGGGGTTTGGACACCAACTTAACTGTTTGCGGGAGGATGCCTGCCATTCAGCCCTTGCAAGTGTGACTTCATGGCATCATTTCATGAATAACCTCTGAGGTGTTATCAGCCCATTTTATAGATGAGGAATCTGAGGCCTGGGTAGGTCAAGGTCATTCATCCTTGGTTCATTCTGTGAGCAGTTATTGAGTGCCTGCTGTATGCTGAGCCCTATGTTGGGCACTGGAGACCCCAGTGTGAGTGGACAGACTTGGTGTTCATTTCACGGGGCTCACAGTAGACAGATAGCGAGTTAGGATAGCAGGGTGGAGGTTTGATGATGGAAGCCCCGGTGCTGTGGGGAGCGGGAGGAGGTGCCTGACTCAACCTGAGGGCATTGGGAGACTCACCCCTCCTCAACATGGCATCTTAGCCGAGAACTGGGGTAGGGGGAGGAGGAAGGGTGTTCCAGGCAGAGGCTCAGCATGTGCAAAGGTCCTGAGGTAGGAATGGATGAGGTTGGTGTGCTAACAGCCAGAGTGAGTAGGAGGTGAGGGAGAGACTAGCACCAGGATTATGGTTGGGGACAGGTCCGGCAGTTCTCCAACCTCAGGCTGATATGGAGCCATGGAGGGGATGCGGGGGGCGCAATGGAAAGAGGTTGGAATGCTCCCCTCCACCCCACCCCCATGACCCAAGCAACCCCTCGGCTTCTTTCTGCCCCGCAGTGAAGCACCCCCCAGCAGAGCCCTCCCGGTTTGTCTCGGTGCCTACCAAGATGCCTGACAAGATGGGCTTCGACGAGGTGGGCCAGGCTTCTGGGGCGGGGAGGGGGAAGGGTGGGGAACCTAGGGCTGGAGAGTCCAACAGGCTCTGTGCCACAGGTCTTCATGATCAACCTGAAGCGGCGGCAGGACCGGCGGGAACGCATGCTCTGGGCGCTCTGGGCGCAGGAGATCAAGGTCCGGCTGGTGGAGGCTGTGGACGGCAAGTGAGTCCAATCTGAGGGCAGGGGTGTGGGCCGTGCACTGGGGCCATGGGTGGCCGGTGAGCCCTACCCTGGGGGAGGGGTGTAGACCGTGCACTGGGGGCCATGGGTGGCAGCTGAGCCCTACCCTGGGGGAGGAGTGTAGACCGTGCACTGGGGCCATGGGTGGCAGCTGAGCCCTACCCTGGGGGAGGAGTGTAGACCGTGCACTGGGACCATGGGTGGCAGCTGAACCCTACCCTGGGGAGGGGTGTAGACCGTGCACTGGGGCCATGGGTGACAGGTGAGCCCTACCCTGGGGGAGGGGTGTAGACCGTGCACTGGGGCCATGGGTGACAGGTGGGCCCTACCCTGGGGAGGGGTGTAGACCGTGCACTGGGGCCATGGGTGGCAGCTGAGCCCTACCCTGTAGACCAGTGATGGCGAACCTTTTGAGCTCGGCGTGTCAGCATTTTGAAAAACCCTAACTTAATTCTGGTGCCGT